TATCGTTATTTTTTTGTCAAATAACGATATTTTATTTGACAAAAAATGCAAATTTTTTTTAAAAAGTAGAATTTCAAGCAGGTTACTAATTGACAATTGGATATAATCATACCCATTAATTAAATGGATATAAATGAATTGATCCATTATTAAATGGGTATAAATCGGTTGGCACCTCTAGATGATTGACTTATTTATACCCATCATTCAATTATGATCCGTCTATACCGGTCTAAATCACCCATTTTGACACTTCTAGATGGTAGTAACACTTTTTGCGGGATGAGGAAAATATGCACTTTACCTATCTTAGAAAAGTCAAACTATTAGATATTTAAATATGCCAAAGAAAGTTAAGGTAATGACTAAATACTTTTGTCTTGGTCGTGTCAACTAGAAAAAATAATACTGCTTTGGAAATTACATAAAGGATATAATGGAGAAGGTGTAAAATGTGGCACTATTAAAATTCAGAGGGGAAATAGAATTTCTGATTTTTGAAACAAAATTAAAATTTTTATTAATATTTTTTTCAAAGCTGTTAGAAAGTATAATCACTGTCAATTCAAGGGCAAATTGCATCTTTTTTGGTTTCGGGAAGGTATAGTGATAAACATTTCAAGAGTTCATGGGAGAAAAGTGTTATTAAACCCTAAAGTACTATTCTATAATTGAAATACTACCTTTTTCTCTATCATACCAAAACCAACATATATTAGATGTATAATTAAAATTTCACATAGTCATCATATACATACATACATACATACATACATCTTCCATGTACTTCAAAAAGGTAGGACACATCCATCCAATCCATGAATCAATAGAATATTCAAGAAAATGGTTTGACATAGCAAGTGCTCAGGAGCTGTGGGGATATACTTAATGCAGTACTGAAGTTCTGTTTTTCACTCTCCATAACTAATTAACAGCATACACCTTTATATGAAAAGCTGTTGTTGAAGAAGGAATTGCCCCCACCACCATATCTTCTTCATCCATTCCTGCTCAAGAAAATGATACTTCATTACCATCCTCAAGTTCTGTATATGCATGCACATATTCGAGCTTGGCTTTTCCATGGAAAGAGAATGGCTCAGTTTTCTGTCGATTATTTTAACTGATTATAGATTCTGATGTTTAACAATCAATTTTTTGTGATGTGCTCTTTTACTTTTGTACTCAAATTATAGATTTTTTAATAAATAAAAAAAATTAAAACTCATAATCAACTAAAGAAAGCAAACGAGAACAAGATGGATATATATCCACAAGAGGAACAAAATTGCTTATTCACCATACGTGCCACAAAAATAGTAATGCACCACAAGCGGATCGATAATATAATGGTTCAGACCTTTTTTAAAGCGTTGTGCAAGAAGTCATTAGTGGTCAGCATTAAATGATTACTTGAGTCTGGACAAGAGAATTGCTCATTTATTTAAAATTATTGAGCATTAGCAATTAAGCTGATACTGCTTTTTTTTATTTGTTTAATTATATGAGTACTTCTTTAGGAAGAGTTTTTTTAAACATAATAAGGTAGAGAGTAGATGGCCAGTTTTGAAAGAGAGAGAGAGAGAAAAAAAAGATGGTAATGGTCATCGGAAAATATGTTAAAAAGTCAAAATATTTATGCATTTGTTTATATCAGCCAGCATCATCGGCGGCCAAATTAATACAGGAAGTATAAGCAGGTAAGTAACTAAACACTAAGACCTGGCCTCGAAAAATTATGAGCTACGGGAATGTGACTTTAAGACCTCTAAATTCCAAATGAGTGTATGTACAACAAAATTACTATTGGGAGAAAAAAGAAGAAAGAAAAGACTGAGAAGCCTTTATGTTGGGTCTAAAAATTGAATCAATACAAGAAATTTAGACTTTTTGTGATTTGTCAAAAAGTTGCAAGTCGCAAAAAACGTATTTCTTATGACATAAAATTGGTGATAGTCACAAAAAGTATAGTTCTTAAGTTACTAACAATAGAAATGGCATTCATTTATGAGTCATAATTAATTTCGCGACTTGTAAATGAGGGTCATCGATTATATAGTCATAATTGATCTTGTGACTTGAAAGATGAATTATGACTGTATAAATAGTGACCTTCATTTACGAGTCACAAGATCAATTGTAACTTGTAAACTAATGTTACATATATATTATTCGTGACTTAAAAAACCAACTTATTGCTTCATGTCATGAAAAGAGTTTTTTGTGACTTACATTTATCTGATGAGTCGTCTAAATTTCTTATAGATTAATTGTTGTATCTTTTATTCCCATAAAACTGAACGAGGAATAACTAACGCACCATCCATACTTCGCAGTTTCACTTCTTCCATAATTTGTTTTCTGAACAATATTTAGAATTGATTCTCTTCTATTTTCCAAAACACACAAATTCAGAAAGCAACAAACCGACATTATAACTAATACCTTGTGTATTAGGAATAAATTAACACAAACACATTATCATGTTTGTCAGATCCATGAGCATGTTTAATTGTCGCAAATTGGTTTGAAAGAGAAAGAAAAGGCGTGCGTTTCATATATACATGTAAGGACTCGAGAGCTAATAGCTTAAATTTTGTGTTCAAGTCTGTATTCCAATTGGTACATTGGACTTCTTTAGTGTATTCTTTGAAGTTTTCTCCCTAACATTTCTCTTTTCACTGACCAGGAGATCTAGCAAGCCATTCAATTTAGAATGGCTAAAATTTAAGTTGAAGGTCTTTGAACTAAGGATTTTTTCCGATTATATGAAAATTGTACGTTGGATGCACAAACTATTTCCAATAAGAGTTGCCCTTTCATTGTGATTCGCGTAATGCGCCAACTATTCTAACACAGAATAGATGACCAAACAAATGGCAGTTCAACCGACTTAAATATGACTACATACATAATTATACAGCCTAGGGACAAACATTGCCAGCCTATACGATGATTTTTTCAGTGATTTTCACATGTGATCACCAATTTTCTTTTGCTGTGTCCTCTGAACCCTCCATCATATGAGCTACAGTCGGTCCATATTGCATCATCTCTCCAGCTCTTTTGACCCCACCGAATTTGAACACTTGTTTTTTTTTTTTTCTTTGGTGAACCAATTTGAACACTTGCTTTGATTATACGTAATATGCCATCACAAATTAGCTGTCTAATTGATTATGATCTGAAGGTACGAATCATTTGATTAGAATTTATCTCACGAAAAGATACCACAAAATTTGGCCTGCATTGCAGGGAGATTTAATCAACAGGGAATGGAAAAAGTTAAAACCCCAAATCATTGTAGTAGATCACCATGCGAGAGTCCATATTGGGCAGTATTCCTTAAAATGGAAGAAATATATGATTTGCTAAGAACTTGCCAGAAGCAGCAATCTTGGCTCTTCGCAAACCCTAGGGTTTCTTGATCTTCACCTTACTCAACGTTTTTGCCACTTCACACACACACACACAACCCCAAATCATCATCACATACCACCATATCATCATATGCTGCTAGAGGGGGAAAAAAAAATTGTACTTCGCACATTCCCTCAATTGAAGATAGATTCTTGAATTCCCATTGGCTTATGATCCAGTCAACTTTCTCTTTCCTGAGGTGCACATGACCACATATGTGGGCAAGGACAGGACAGGCACTAATAGTAGTGTTTTTGAGAGTACAACAATACCTTTTACAGAAGCCTCCAAACTATCACTGCCATCCTTCAGCCCAACTTTGCTTTTTGGCTTCTAAGTTCTAAGTTGGATTTTCTTTCTTTAGGGATCACTTTCCTCTTTCGGCTTTGCAGAGCAAAAGTGGATTCTTATTCCTTCGGAGTTTTCCTTGAGATGATACCCCCTATTGATACCCATATATACCAACTCTTTTACTCATGGCTCTATTATTAATTTCAGGATGTAAATATCTGTTTGTAGAGAATTCAGGAAAGAATATAGTAGTAGTAACAGAAGCATCCTTATCAAGTAAACTCGGATAAATATGGTAAGAATCTTTACTCCTTCCACCTGAAGTCCTACCTTCCATCAAGAAAGCCTCATCCACTATCTGAATAAGTTATAGGCCGTCGCACAAGCCATTTGCATAATGCTGCTAAACATTACTATATCAGATCGAGGTTTCGTTGCCAAAATCAACAAGATTGCACATAAATTGCCCACGTAATATTTTAGACAGGACTATATTATATGCTAGTTAATGCAAACGCAATATATATCCCAAAATTTGGCTTAGGTTAAAAAAAAGAAAAAGAAAAAGTAAGCAGTCTAAACACTAAAACAAAAAAACAAAAAAATTGCCTGCATTTTGTTGCTTATGTATGATAAGGGTAGCTAGCGTACATCCTTGTAGCTGCCACATTTAGGATTCGGCCAAAGCTCAAAGTTTCAAGTAGGCTTACCAAGAGAAGTCGACAAAGAGTCAAAAGAGTAAAGCTACAAATAGGCAAAAGAAAGAAAGAAAAAAGAAGAAGCAAAACAGCAATGTTTGAGGGAGAGGGACAATGTACTTGGAAAATTAATACATGGTCCTGTTGTTGATTGTTTCATGCTCAGAAGTCAGAAGAGATATTTCTTTTTTTTTTTTTTTTTTAGCAAAATACACTAACGGTTCTTTGTTTCCACAAATTCATGGTGAGAATTCAATGGTCCCATTCTCGTCAATAACTTTCAAGCCCCTCATGAAGTAGGTTTCTTATCTAAGACTACCTTTAATGTCCATTCATAATGTGCACACGACATTGTAATTCACGATGCGAACCTTAGCAACAATATTAAAAGTTTAGTTGCAAGATGGAAAAGTATGTATGTTGATGGCCAGAAATTTTCCGGAATAAATAAAAATAAAAATCCCAAGTACATTCACCTAAGAGAATTTCAAGAAATCCAAATTATTTTTCCCAAAAAATAGATCAACTGAAAAATCGTCTTAAAAATTACACAAAATAAACACGTAGAACATTTCTATATACTCCTAAAGAAAATCTTAAAATGCCATCACGTTCCATAGTTCATTGATCATTCCATTCTTGATTGAACCAAAAGGTGTTTTACAATTTTGTGATCCCCACCTAAATTTTTGAGCCAAAAACATAAACTCCAAATTTCTTTTTCCTAATAAAAAAGAAATAAACTCAAGATCCCACATGAGAAATACAGAAGAAAAAAAAGGAGAAAAAAAAAAACCAACCCATTTTCATTTTTCCATTTCTTCTTGGACTTTTTCTTGGCATTCTTGAGAAATATTCACATGGGCCAAAAACAGTCACCTCATGACCTCAACTCACTTCCACCACCACCGGTTTGATGATGATCACGTGACATAGCTTCAGTCGCCGACGCCAACTTCTGAAGATTCAGCCTCACAACCGTATCAGCAAACAGACGCGTGTCCTCCTCCGTGTTCCCCTCCGGCACGTCAACGATATACGATTCCAAAACGACGGTCCAGATCCTCCCGTCACGGTCAAACTCATGGACAGTCGTCACCGACTTGTAGTTCCTCAACCGATGTTCGCCGCCAATAATACTGAACCCCGTGACGTGTCGGTCGTCGTCCAGCATATCCAGCCTCTCCGTACTGGTTGCAGCCGGTAATCCGGAGATGACGTTGACGTCCCTCGTGTCGCCGACCGTCATTCTGAAATCTTCTCTGACGCTGCAGCTCTTGATGAAGTGTTTATAGGTCTGAGGTTTGTCGAAGCGGCGCACCATGGGCCAGACGTAGCGGAGCGGCGCTTGGATGCGCTGGGCGAGTAGGGATGAGCAGTGACCTGAGTTGACTCGGTAGCTGTGGAACTCGGTCACCACGTGCTTGAGTGAGTCGAACTCGTCTTGGGTTAGCCCGTGTGGGACTGTTAGATGATGGGTTGTGTTTATTTCCAGGGCTTCTGCTGCTTCTTGCTGTTGATCTTCTTCTCGGTGCTGGCTAGATGAGGCTTCCGTTTCTTGCTTGTCCATTCCTAGGGAAAGAGAAGTAAGAGGAGAGAGAGAGAGAGGGAGAGAGGGGGCCTGAGAGAGAGAGAGAGAGAGCTTAGGGGGATTGGGGGGAGTTTATTTGTTGGCGTCTTTGGAGGGGGAATACCGGACAATGTAGGGATAATATAGGGATTTTACTTGTCAATTTGTTTAAGTTTTTTTTTTTTTTTGGGGTGTGGGGGCTTGGTTGAAATGGGAAATTGTGGAGTGGGGTTTTTTGGGGTGATTCATGGAGTGGAAGGAGTATGGGAATATAAAAAGGAAATATGGGATTTTTTTTATGGGAAGGAGTTGGAAAGTAGTGCCAAGTGACTTGCAAGTGGGGCGGACAGGGAGGGTTGATGGGTCCCTATGATGATGTGTAATGGTTTACAATCCAATGGAAATGGATATTTGGTTCTACTTCCACACAGTGTTTAAGGTTTTTGCAAAGTTGAGGGACTAGGAAAAGGATTTTTTAAAAGTTAAGGGACCATCTTAACAATTGTCTTTTGTACCTATGTAGTCAACATCAATGGTACATGCTTAAGAAAAGAACAAATGATAAACTCTTACTATTATTAGATGCATTGATATACGTAAAATTTAGAATTCAAATTACGTGTCGTATATCTAATAATAAAAAATAATAAAAAAGTATATACTGTTAGTATATAGAAAATTATAATCTATTATAATTTTATCATAGCAACATTTTCATAGCCTGCATATATTCTTATCATCTTTTTTTTTTTATATGTGACATTTCCATTAACTTTATTTAACACTAAATTATGATAGTGTAAAAGATTATGTGCAAAAAAGGTTTGGATTCATAACACATATACAAAACTTTTTTTTTTTTTTTTGTGAATGAAAATGATATATCAAGACTTGTGTAAAAATCTTATATGCTAATTGTGTTGAAAACAAATGGAAAAAATGTTTAAGCTAAGCTATTGATATGTCATAAATCTTGCCCTACTTGAAATTCTAATTTAGTGAATAAAAAAAGAAAATACAAGAAAACAAAAAGATGTGAGGAAAAATGATATAGAAAATAAGGAAAAAAAGGAGATAGGAAAAAAAAAAGGAGAAACAATAAGAGTATGGGGATATTTGTATCCTAGAAGTGCACACTTTCAGGGGAAATTCCATGGAATACTTTTCAGTTTTCAAACAAATTCTCTTGGTATAATAGGCTTACAAATCTTGGGATAATTTCAGAAATCTTCGTTGAAGTTTTGGACAATTTTGTTGATATTACACTTACTTTCCCTATTTTGAGTTTCAAATGTAACAAAATCTGCCAATTTATCCAAAAAAAAATTCCCATAAAAGCTATGATATAAAGTATTGTCTTTCGAAATTATCCTTGCATATACTCATAAATTCAATTGAACTCAAAAAAGAACTTGAAAAATGCAATAAACAAGAGAAAAAGTTGATCTTAAAAAATTAATCATAAAAAGGTGACGAGGTAAATCGTCATTTATTTGGCACATTTTCAAGTTATTTTTTTAGTTCAATTTGTTTTATCAATTTTCTATATGCCATGGAAGGTTAATTTGGTGTCTTTTAGTATTTCATGTGAGTTGTTTATGGGGTTGGCGTTGTTATATCAATATTGAAATAAGAGAGGTAGATGTAATATCAAAACCTGCAAGGAAACCAAAAGGAATTGTCAGAAAGAGAAGTTTATGATTTTTTTTAGAGGTTTATTAAATTATGCCTTGAATCTATCAAGATTAGCTTTTCCTCGTCCTTTTGATCTTTTGTTTAGATTGAATAAGATGGAAAACAAGTTAACAACTTTGAACTTTTGAAGTTAAGTGGGTTTGAAGTCTAAGACATGTGAGAGAAAGCAATTTTTTCGATTTTTTGTAGAAAAATTACTGTAACAATTTGATATATATAAAATAAAAAGATGATTGGAAAATGTGTTCACGAAAAACGTACCAATTTTTCTTTGAAAAATTGCTTTCCAACAAAGCAAGTAATTTTGCCATTTTGTGGCTGAAAGTGACATTTTGAACGAAACCCTTGAGATAAGAACGAAATAAGTGGCAAAATTGAATGATCCAAGCGCAATTTTTTCGATATAAAAGAATGTTTTTGTCTTTTCATGTTCAGCATGCAAATCAAATTCTAATTTCTGAGTATCACCAACAATTCTTCACAACACTAGATATTCAACTTACAAGGTCGCACACTTTTGCCTGGAAATGCACATAACGGTGGGCTTTCTTGAACAACAATTTGGTTAATTTTTACTAATATTTTTCATGGGAACTAATAGTTGAAAAAGAAGACAGATAACACAACAATCTTTTTTGTGAGAAATTAAACTCTGTAACACATATCATCACATCAGAGTTAATACATTTCACTTTCATATCAAACAATATGGAAAAACAAATGTATACAAAATTAAGTTTTCACTAATACATTTCAGTTTCATATTTCACTTGATAACTGGATACAAAATTAATTAAGCTTGATTGATACTATATCTTCAGCTTAAGTAACTGAATATAAAATTAATTAAGTTTGATTGAGACTCTATTGTTCAGCTTAAGTAAGATTGTAGCACACAACATGAAATATTGATTGGAGTTTGATGAACATCTCATAGCTTATTTGTTCTTGTTTGGTTGAAAAATATCAACTAAACAGCCCGTTATCCACCCTAGATACAGGCATACCAAAGTCATTTACTGCACACAACCCCCCCCCCCCCAAAAAGGATCACAAATATCAAGGGTATATTTCCTAAAAAACATTAAGGGTCCGTTTGTTTCGGGTGAAAATACTAAAAAACATTAAGGGTCCGTTTGTTTCGGGTGAAAATATTTTCCTAATTTCCCGTGTTTGATTGCACAAAAGTTACTGAAAATATTTTCGTATGTAAAATATTTTCACTCATCTTATGAAAAACAACTTCCCTTCCAAACTTACTGAAGTTGTTTTCCGAACTGCATGCATCCCGCCTGTAGTATATTTCAAACTTACTGAAAACATATTGTAGTATGTTTTTTTTTTTAGTGTAAACAGGAGGATTCGAACCCAAGACCTCTTCCTTACACTCCCTCCCCCGTATTACCCAACCCAACCCAACCCAACCCTCCCCCTAGTATATTCAAAATAAAAAAAAATCTCATCATGCTCATTCTATGTTAGTAATTAATTATGTATAATAGGGACATTCTTTTTTAGAAAAACTTCCAGCAGTGAGAGTGCAAGATATATGTCACAATAAGCATTGCATGTGATTGATATTTGACACTAAATGGCCAGCAATTTGTTTATTGCTTAAGGAGATATTTTTTATTCATATATACATTTCTCCAAGATTTTTTAAAGTTAAACAATGAAATAAATTTTCTTATTTTGCATGGGAAGAAGTATGTAGTTATAATGTGTAGAAAGTAAAGATAGAGATAAAAGTGAAAATATTTCAAAAGTGAAACAAACACCAGAAAAATGAAGTAAGAAAATATTTTCAATAAGCTAACCAAACACTTGAAAATGATGAAAGGGAAATGATTTTCATGGAAAATTACTTCCACGGAAAATATTTTCCCAAAGAAAATATTTTACTTCCAAACAAACAGACCCTAAAGGTTTATTAGTTATAATCTCCACCTAAACTCCATGAATTTGTCCTTGGATCCAACATCAGAGTTCCACATAGGAAACACAAGATAAAAGAACATGGAACAAGAATCTAACGAAACCATGAACCCCTTGAAAAAAAGCAAGAAAAAGTAAAGAATCTATAATAGTTGGGGGAAGAATTATCCCTTTATCGTGATTTGAATTAGCATTAGTTCCTTTATATGCCGGTGGTAACTGAGTCAAGTTTTGCACTTTTGCCATCTTCATTCATTTATATACAAGTGGAAATGGAAAATTCAAGCCATAAATTGCTCCCTCATTAGCAAAAAGAGATCACTTTTGCAACAGAGAGCCAAATAAAAAAGCTGTCGACAAAGCAGGCGAGCTAGATTCTTTTACTGATTACGAATAATAAGCCCTTCTTTGCTGATGCTTTTGCAAGCTTTTGCCACCTTTTCCCATGGAGCATATAAGAAAAAGACAAGAGAATAGACATATAAATGACTCAATGCGGTGCTAACTTTAAAATGTTTTTAACTAACATATTTATGCGTTAAATGTGCATCTGACCTTTCTCGACCTCTTGTCAGCACTTCGGAGGTGATTGGATCTTCCTCATCGCTCAAACCAACGGCTAGAGTTGTGGCAAATATGGTTTGTATGGCCATGTATACTATGCAAGTAAAGTTGATAAAACACTAAAATTAGCCATTATGTGTAAGAATGGACACACTGAAATTGCAATCAGGATTGGCAATTTGGTTGCTGACTAACTAATCAAGGATGGATTAGATTAAACTTCTTTTTCTTGGTTTAAAAAAAAATCTTCTTTGCCCCTAAATTTTATCAACTCTGATTATCTACTCGAGAGAAGGTGCTAATAGATATTGCTCAAGTCTCAAATTTCATCCTTAGTAAAGTGGGGACTAGTGGGGAAGTTAAAAATGTCAATAACGGATGGAGGTATACGAGTGAAACTCATGCAATTGCTACCCTTTGATAAAATTCCTAACATGAATCGTTTTCAGCATTTCAATGTTTTATCAACAGAATAAATGAAGCCTACCTAGGGTAAGATGACACTTTGAGAGATTACAAAACACAAAAAAAAGGAGGGGGGGGGGGGATGTGAATAGGGATATGGCAAAACATGCATATGATCTCTTAATTGTTCAACAGTTAAACTTATCTTGACAAAGAGATAACATGTCTTTGACAGTTGATTGTTGTGCTTCTAAACCATTTTCTTCCCTTGGAAAATTCCAAGTCTACTACGTAAATTAAATTCTTCTTTCCATATTATTCAAATCTCTTTCAGTCAGTGTCTCTCTTTTGCCAATTGCAATAGGTCGCCAGTCAAATAAAGCTACTTAAATTCCTCCAATCTCATACGTATCAATATGGGCTTGGAAAAGGTATATACGACTATTCTACTTGACAGAAAGGACTACATTGAATAAGTACATACATAGCAGAA